ATAACTTGAAAGGTAACGATTGAATTGAAGTAAAAATGAATCAACAGACTCCATCATCCCTACTGAGTGCATCCAGTAGGAGGGCATCGCTGAATAGATAATAATGAATTTAAGTGGATGTGGGGCTCTATTCTAGTTCAAGAATAGCATTCTTTCTACCGTAGTTAAGTTGGCAAGGAATTAATATTACGTTAGTGCATCGATAGGATGATCGATCGCTGAGAAATGCCGGACAATATGGTCGAAAGCACGTGATGGTACAATTAAATAAGGAAAAGGCGTTAAGAAAGCTGTTAGCAATAGTCACACTGTTTTTGTCATCATCATTAAGATTGTACTTGACTTCCTGGCCTATCAGCTTCTAACCCGATAGAAAGGAAGAAAGGCGTAGTAAAAGCGTTTGTAAAATATTAAAATGGATGGACAATAGCATAACCCGTTGCGACACCAAGCAATGCCCTATTGAAAAAATAGTAACTACGTTTCAACAGTCTGCTAGAGGCAGTGTGGACTATTGTTGATGTTGATGTTATCCAATATTTAAAAAGGATGTATCCCTACGTAGCCAAAGGCAACCATCGACGTCACGGGGACATAGTAATAGCAGGTGCAATGGTAATTATTTCAATCAAACGATATAATAAGGGATTTTTGCTGGCACGGATTATTTATTCTTAGCGTTTGTGACTCTCGCGGGCCGCGTCGCTTGATACAACGGAAATACAAATTTTAATTCCTTTCGGATACGAATACTGCATCGTCAACTACTCCATTCTCTCTTTTCTTCTTATCCTATCGTTCAAGGTAACTATTCCCAGTTAGGAATGAGTGATTGAATGTAATCATCGTTGTTTATCGTACAGTCTAGTTTGTATCTGTATTATTTTTATAATGTTGATGACTAGTTAAGCGAGCTTGAGTCGCTTGCTAATGTTTACGTTTTTTCCCTCGTCTTAAATGCTTCAATTTGCCGTCATGGGTGTTAATCGATAATTAAGATAGATCGATATTAATTTATATGAAACGATATTGCTTGTAGGCAATTCGATCCAATAGGTATTTTAGCTTATTGCTCTACTTATCTTCTCTGTTGGATCGAATTAAAGACTTGACTAATGCAGTGAAAATTGCAATATTTATATATTTTCACTTTAAGTTAGACCTATCAAAGGAAACTGTTCTACGGTGGGTAAGAGGACAATATTATCCACCGTATTTGAAAGTTTGTTAACCTAGGGATAGATAATTTCAAACGATAGTAGCGCAAAGGGAACTACTTATGTTGATAGTAGTGCTAACGACAGCTTTACAAGTTTAGAATTATTCTATCGTACAATAGAGTGAAGAAGAGGCAATATTTTCTTTCCTCCTTGGAATAAGTTATCCTTTTAAGAAGCTTTTTCCCGACGCAGTTGTAGCGTAAACACTACATTACCTATCGATTTTGTTACATCTTTACCGACACTATTTTATGCGCGCTTGTACACAATTTGGGCATAAATCGCCTTGGATAGGCTTTTCATTCTTGAATAATACAACAAGAACTTTATCCTCTCTCCTCAATCAATCTAGAACAAAGATAAATTGTTTCATTTCATATATTTTCTAATGAAGAAATTGACACTATTTATCTGGATAGGATAGCAAATTTTTTTTGTTGTCAAGCTCATCTTTTACCGTAGAAAATAAGCATTCTATATTCTTGTCAACGTGGATAAAATGATTGTCAAGATGTTGATGGCTTCTAGAAGGATGTAATATTGTTCATCTTTTCAATCCCTATTTAACCAATGTGATCGTTGAGCACGTGAAATTTTGCTACTCTACTACCTAACTACAATTGAAAGACAACCTATCGCGTTAATTAGTGCATCGACATCGTTGATACCTATCCTCCGGTGGTAATTTAGTGTTGAGCATAAATTAGCCGCAATAAAATGGGTATAAAATCTAATTAAAGTTTATAGCATCGTAAAAATGGAACTGATCTATTAAGAAATTGCAAGATCTGTCTTTTTCATTCTTGACAACGGACCATATGTTTAAATCATTCCAATCAAGCCTAAATTCGATACAGTATACGAAAGTAATTCCATCTCAAGTTCGATTGTACCGGCAATGTAATTGAGACAATAATGGACATCCATTTTCACTAGTAAAATACAGAAAGGATCATGTTGAAGTAATTTATATATGGTCATAACGATTATTCTTGGTGATTGAATGTTTTTGCCCAAAATGCCAGTTTTATTAATCATTTTCCACCATTTTTGATGTTATTATTGTGATGTTTACGAAAACCCAAGAGTTTCACTAATAAGCTATAGTACATCCTCTTGATTGCTCTATCTTTTATATTTATTCAGTAAATAAACGGGCTATGCATACAAAGTTGATCATTGACTGTTAATCAACGTATTCTGCCATGGTATTAGCCCCCTTGATATATAGAGTTACTTGATTTTTAGCTTAGTGATTGCTATTTCATCCGATGATTCATGTAGATAACACGTATCGCCGTGAAAAAAAAAAAAATTTAGCTTCCCGTAGAATATCCGTTGTGTGGGTTATTTTCCGTCATTGTAAATTTATTTAAGCATCACTTGAGGAAGGAAATCCATAGGAATAACCTATAAGTAATTTATATGAAACTATTAAACGAATCATTGGCTATTTGTCCAAAATGATGCTATTTTTGATCGCATCATGGTGAAGAGTTACGCTAAGCTCGAGAACAATTCGATCTAACGGCTCTCTAACCTAATTTAAACTTTGTAACTATCAACACGATTAAGCGCTTTTCTAGCCGGTTTACGTGGTTGCTAACCCCAAGTACAGAGTAGCAGTAAATGGCCTACAATACTATAGGACACTGTTGTCCAAGTTGCTTCTGTCTCATCGACACTACTGCTCTTGTAGTATTTATTTTGCCCAATAATGTCGCCAACGATTTATTTTTAGAGTTGGCCCAATATGCCTCAATTTGATGAATTTCGCCCTAACTCTATTCTTGTCCACAATAAAAAACAACATCACAATAGCCATGTAACGTTCTAGTTTTTCAACTTTTCAATAGCATATTACCTTGTTTTCATTACAATCATCGAATGGAGTAATAACATTGTGAAGTAAAAGCGCGCCAATGTTGACCATGGGGTGCTATTATGGCTGTTGTAACTGTTGTTTTAAGTCTACAAATGGCAAATTTTGTCTACGTTGATAATTGCCATTCAGAGTAATTGTCTTGCAAATTGCATGGAAGCCATAGAGAGCCTGAAGGGTGATTTTCTTCAAGACGCTTTGACGTCATGGAAGGGAGGGAAAAACACATGGTTTAAATTACTATGCTTAGTCATAGATTAATTCAACTTGAATAGCCGCTAAAAGGATTACTACTTTAATTTCAATAAGAATCGTTAGCACAAGAATAGCACACTTGGACATTGAAAGGAAAGACAAGGCCAACGCCTAATCAAGAACGATAGCAATACTGTATTCTATTGTAAGACGCGAAAAATTACAATTCGGTACTTATTCAACTCCACATGGTAAACATCACGATGAGACTAATGAGTCAAGATCGATTGGATCCTATATTTAATGGCAATCGAAATGCGTTTCTGTACTTATTGACGCAAATATTATAAACACAATCAGGCTAATAAGTCAAGATCGATAGCATACTATATTGATTAATGGTAGTAAAAATGCATTTCTGTACTTGTTGACTCGATAGCATAGACAACTTGAAGAGATTAAGGAGTCAAAATCGATAGGATACTATTTTTAATTGCAATAGAATTGCATTACTATACCGATTGAATTCGATAATCGAACAGCTCAACCCGAAGAGACTAAGAAGTCAAAACCTATATCATTCAATTCGATATCATGATCTACACGAATGAGACTAATTTGGTAAAGATCGATAGGTACTCTATTCAATTGGAATACGCGTAGAATTGCATTTCTGTACTTATTGACTGTGAAGTCGATATGATGAATAACACGATGAAAATTATTAAACTCGTGGAATGATCAAATTTATTTATTCAATGTCAAGGGAAAACAGAGTACGTTCTTCATTGATTTGTTATTTTGAGTCAAGATCAAATTGAAATTGTTGACCTTATCGATCGAACAGATCATAATAACATTGTCAATTATTCAAGATTAGAGGAGGGAATTTGTATTTATTCTCCTCACTATTTTAAGAGTAGTAAGGAGATTGCTTTGCTATTTGATTTTTCATGCATAACTAAATAGAATCCACTATGATAATATAGAAAATCATTTCAGACACTTATGTACAGTATCATGTTATCCTTTCACGGAGAAAGAATGACTAATTTAAATAGTGGACATCCGGTCATAGTATGATATTACCCCACTATTCTACAATGCCATCTGAAATTTCCGTCCATGACTACCTGGACATAATATCGTTAGGTTTAGTAAAAGGATTTTATCCTTAGTCGTAGAATTGATCAAAGAGGAACCAATACAGCTGTCTTTTAATAGCATATATACGAAAATTCACATCAACGACAACTTGAACTTAATGTTCTTCCTTGTGAAAAAAAGAATGAGATCGTTTGTTATACTGCCAATTAAAGAATAGAGTTTCAATTTGAAAAGGAGCATCAAGATGGCGTAGACTTGTATTTATTCTGACTATTGCAATACCATCTGCTAATTCTATTGCTATCTTTTCAAATGGCACTGGTAGTATATAATTACATTTTCATACTTTAGCTACAATGATTCGATCTATCAAGACCATATTCCTACCTTGATCCATAGAACTAGCTAGAATAAGTGAAATGTGTGCAATTTTTATACAAACTAATCGGCGATTCGAATGACTAGTTCACACTGAGCATTGTCCTACTTTCAATATTTTTACAAGATCAGCCAATATCGTTTTTCAATCAATTGTAATTATAGTATAGTCATATCGTGTCGGTTTTTGTTGATTAGATTTGAAAAGATAATTAAACATGTCTGAAAAGAAGCCCTATGAAGAAGGTGGTGAAGAAGAGCCTGAACGAGGCCATTGGGGACATAAGATGGATTTTCTCCTGTCTTGTATCGGCTATGCTGTAGGTCTTGGCAACGTCTGGAGATTTCCGTACTTGTGTGCCGCAAGTGGAGGCGGTAAGCAAAAAATCCTTTTGATAAATTGAGTTTAAAGTTTGATTCTGCTTTCGTTCAAGATCAATGATACATTGCTGGGATCGAGAGTACAGAGAGAACTGTAAAGTTATACTTTTACGAATATGAAAAGTGACACTCAATGCAAATGTAATATTGATCATCTTCTGTTCTACCCTAGGTGCTTTCTTAATTCCTTACTGCATCATGTTGATCCTTGTTGGTATACCAATTTTCTTTATGGAATTGACTATTGGTCAGTATTCACAAGAAGGACCACTCAAAGTTTGGGAAAATATCTTTCCATTGCTAAAAGGTAAATTATATCTTGACCTCAATGGCTAAAAATGTCACCCTAAATTAGATTGCATCAGTAGCTCATGACGGGCAAATATCACTGTGCGCTAGAAATAATGCAATTCTACATTTTAAACATATGAAAAAAATGAGAATACCTTAAGCTTGTACTGATCCATTACAATAAACATTTTTATGGATATTTAGGAGTTGGTTATGCTATGTTAGTCTGCTCTTTTGGTGTTGGAATTTACTATAATATCATCATTGCATGGTGCTATTACTTTTTATTTGCTTCCATGCAAAGTAAATTACCTTGGGCAAGCTGTGGTAATCCGTGGAACACTGCTCTCTGCAGGACTAGCGTTACCCGTTGCCCAACAGCGAATGTTACTAACACGACAGGAGTTGTTACTACTGTTGCTCCAACCACAATGGCGAACAATATGACGAATTTGACTGCTTGCATTCCTAAAGGATTTAAAGTCACTTCTCCTAGTGAAGAATATTGGAAGTAAGTTAGCTCTACCTTGAAATAACTAACATAGAAGAGGTATCGCGCTGATTTGGATTGCGTCCAACACCATACATCACTACTTTCACACTGATCTTTTCGATAATTTTAGATAGCCAATACGTAATTTAATTGAATAACTTTTTATTGGCTGTAGCTTCCTATTGATCATTTAACTTTAATCTATGTAGTAAACAAGTATTAGATATTAGCAAAGGAATTGGTGAGGCAGGCCATATTCGTTGGCATTTAGCTCTCTGCTTATTACTTGCTTGGATTGTTATCTACTTTTGCATCTTTAAAGGAATCAAATCCTCTGGCAAGGTGAATAAAATAGAATGATTGAAATTTATTGATGTCAATCAGTTTATTCAATTATAATAATGGTAACATCCGTTGATGATCGCTTTTCTAGGTCGTTTACTTCTCTGCTACCTTCCCTTATGTTGTCTTGGTTATTCTGTTGATCCGTGGTGTTACCCTGAAAGGGCATCTAGAAGGAATTAATTTCTATCTCACGCCTCGATGGGAGAAACTTTCAGATGCAAATGTGTGGGCTTCCGCTACTACTCAAATTTTCTTCTCACTTAGTGTTGGATTCGGAGGTTTAATTACTATGGCCAGCTATAACAAGTTCTACAATAATTGCTTTAGGTACAGTATCCAAGATCTTCGATATCAACTAACTCTATCTCAATTGTTAACACATTGTTGGCTTTTCAGCAGCAAAATATATCCAGTATAAATAGACTTTAACTTACTGTTTATATCTGTTAATTCTAAAATATAGGGATTCTCTAACAGTATCTCTCATCAACTGTGGTACAAGTTTCTTTGCTGGTTTTGTAATCTTTTCTGTAGTTGGTTTCATGGCCAATTCCTCAGGCAGACAAGTATCTGAGGTTGCTGATCAAGGTAATAAAGATTTAGAAATTTTCATTACACGCGTCAAATGAATCTTTGTCATAGTCTGCTTATTACAATAAGGAATGGATCAATTATTTTGTAACATTTATTTCCTAGGATGGATTTAATTAGACTGTATAAATGATTGACGATGTTACTGTAATATATCGCTTAATCCGATTAAAAAATTCATTTTTTGCAGGTGTTAGCTTAGCCTTTATCGTTTATCCAGCTGCTGTAGCTGAAATGCCTGTATCGCAGTTATGGTCGATCATATTTTTCTTCATGTTGATCACCTTGGGTATGGATAGTCAGGTAAAATTTCTGCTTGCAAACTATTCATTCTTGACTAATTAATTTATAACTAATGCTAAGAGAGAGATAGTAACGCTATACTATACAGATAAAGAAAAATAATCTATATAGCTCAATCTGCTACTAACATTGATCGATCTTGTCTATTGGATCCTTAGTTTGCATTTATGGAAACAATCATTACCGCTGCTGTTGATGAATACCCCAAAGTTTTAAGAGCTAAAAAATGGTTCATCTCCATGATTGGTTGTATCACTCTCTACTTCTTGGGATTGCCATGCATTACCCAAGCTGGTGCTTACGTCTTACAATTGATGGATGATCATGTCGCTGGTATCTCCCTGTTGATCTTGTGCATCTTTGAAGTTATTGGCTGCGGTTGGGGCTACGGTGCGTCGATTAATTTGCAAACAATCTAATTGGGATAACCTATAATTGTTTTAAAAGCCATAGATTTGATCTGAGTTATTGATCTAATATTTCTGTGTTATACAGGCGCCTTCCAATTGATGAAAGATGTAGAAAAAATGATTGGCTATAAACCATTCTTGTATTACTGGTGGATAGGTTGCTGGAAGTTCTTGTCTCTTGCCACTTTACTAGTAAGTACTTCAAATTTGGCCAAAACTTTTACTTTTTTCATAGCAATATATGAAGCTGCTCTCCATGCATGCCTTCGATGATGTATCATTGCCAATACGAGCATAGCATTGATTAACATTTTTTCTTGTTGTTCTAGTTTGTTACAATCTTTAAAATTGTTGGTTATAAGAAATCTTCATTTGGTGGTAAGCCCATGCCCGATTGGGCCGACGGTGTTGGCTGGTTTATGGCCTGCTGTTCAATGGTTTTCATCCCAGGAGTTGCACTCTATAAAATGTTTACTACTGATGGCTCTTGGAGTGAGGTTGGTTGATAAAATTAGTGATCATGCTACTTCTTTCTGGTAATCCATGATAGCACTAGATCACTCGCTAATACTAATTTCTTGTCACATTATAGCGTTTTCGAATCTTGACAACACCTCGTGATGACAAATATGGTGATTTGCAAATTAGCGCTGTCGAACATGAGCTAAGAAAAGAAAACGGCCATAATATGGAACAAACTGTTTAAATATGTAAGCAAGAGATGATTAAAAAGGGCGCATCACCGAATCCATTTCAAACTATTCCTTTTCTTTAAGTAATAATTCGATGAAATATCCCGATTAGTGTGTTTTTGTTTTTTTCTTATTCAAGTAAATTGTATGTACTCGTATGCTTAACAACGCATGGGCTATGGATTAATAGGCTTGAGCAGAACTAATATCTATTTCATTAATTTCACTTGGTACGTAATTTAAATTCAACTTTTATTTATTCCTCTATTAATATTAAATTAGTCAATATACGTATGACTAAGAGATGATATCTTAAGCGTAGAGCTAGCTCCATCGTAAGTCATCAAATTTATTATAGTAGCATGGAATGTTGGTTAAGTTTCATTTTTGATAATTAATAAGCCCAATATTAATCCTTGTTAACGATAGAAGTTAACCACTTATTTTAACCTAAAATCGATGTATTTGGTATTGATGATAACAAGTGGCTTTTCTACATCATCTCATTGCATCAGTTTACTTCCTTTTAATGTTCAATGGATGAAGTAATATGGTATCTCGGTAATCGATACTGCCCTATCAGTCTATGTCGACCACTTTGTTCATGATATTGGCGAGTAGAATATTAGCTTGATGCTAGGTAACCTTTCTAATATCCGACTGCGAAAGCATAATATATTTCTGGTAAATATCGTTGTTAATAGTCGCGAAGAGTTTACTTTTTACAATCGATCAGTGTATTCTGGTAGAATGTTCATCTACTTGCTATTGATCATCAGCTGTGCCAGTCATGATGTTTTCTAAATATGCTAAGCTGCAGCTTTTCGCTTCAGCTTTAAAATAAATGTTGATGGGCTTCCTTGAAGATCGATTGTGTATTTTTTGATGAGTTACAACTTTAATAGCATACTACAATTTTTTCGTCATTTTATTGAAAAATCTGCTGTAGTCATAGATTTATTCGACAGTGCAATTTATCAACGGTTTTTATCTTTAGTTTAGAAAACTATGGTAAGATTAGCAATCTTATTACTGCAAGATGTTAGCTTCAATTATATGCCAAATCTGGAAGTAGTTTGATATTACCATTAGCAAATTGGAAAAGATATCAATTTTCATAGCATGATCATGAGATACTGTATCGACGTAGTTGTAAAGTGATATTTACTCCTTTCCATGGCATGCAAATCACCAATCAGATAAAGTATTATCAGGAACTGCATTTCTACCGTATCCAACTAAAGCGATCCTTGTAGATATAATAAACTTACTGCAGAAAGCTAAACCCTATCAAGAAATATTGCATATAGTAATAAAGTAAAGTGAAAATTACTCCTTTCCAAGGCATACAAGTCGCTAATCAGATTTAGTATGATCAGGACCTGATTTCTACCGTATCTATAACAGAAGTTACCTATGCAAATATAATGACCTTATTACCTTGAGCTAAGTGTTATCAAGAAATATTGGATATTGTTATAAAGTAAAGTGATAAATACTTTTCAGAGCGTACAAGCCGCTAATTAGATAGAACTTAATCGGGAAATTCAATTTTATCGTATCTAACAAAAGCAATTCACGCAACTATAATAACCTTATTACAGAAAGCTCAACTCATGATACTGGTCTATATTCGTACGCGGATTGCTAGTAAATTTACATCAGTCGAAATATTCGAATGGATCACACCAATTTATTGCTGTATATTCGATGCTAAAACATGGCTATGAATGAAATTGAATGATTTTCTACCGGTAGACAGTCTTATTTATCATTGGTATTATCTGAGTGATTATTTAGAGTTTAATGTAACCTTTCTTCCCATCGCTACGACAATAGTGAAAGCGAGAATTGCTTACGTTTTATGATTTGCTACCGATAAAATTCAGACACACAAAATTAGACTAGAGGACATTATTAGCAGCTCTTTAATCTAGAGAAGTATATTGGACTTCTCAGGTAATGATATAATTTTATTGCCAAGGAAAATCTTTGTTTAACAATTCTTTGGTAGTATAGGGAAGAAAAGTAACTGAAGCGTTGGGAACAAATAAATCAATATCTAGCCATTGATGTAATTATTTAATTTGTAAATTTCTTTAACAACCGTAAAAATAAACAAAAAATTATTATTTACTGTTTATCTTGGTAATGGATGAGAATTAAGTAGTGGAATTAGTTATTTGGAGATAGCATTGACTCTTTTTCAATGTTTTCATAATTTTACAAAGCTACATGAAAATTAGGTGGTAATAATGGATTATCATGATTTAATTAAACCGGCTTATGCGTATTAATATATTCGTTTAGGTTACTTATTCTAAAATGTTTAGAATTTTTTACATTGAGGGCAATCTTGATTGCAGCATCTTCGACGGGATGAATTGCCTGCTACTGTCCTTATTGCATGTTTGGTACTGTTCTTGCAATTTGGCTACTCTATATCCATGTTCAGTGAGACTGCTGATTTTCTTCAAATCGATTTAGGCTACGTAATTAAATAGTGCTGATGGTAGAAATCAATACGCTTCAAAACACGATCATTTCCTAAATCATTGGAATTCGAAGTGCATCACTGAAATACTATCCAAAACAAAAGTGCCGGACTACAGAAAATTTCCTACTAGTAAACCTCTTTTATAGCTTGTCAGAGCTTCGATTCTTCTTATATCCTCATCGATGTAATGAAAAACTTACCCGAAAATCAAAACTGATTATAGCCTGTATTTTAGTTTATAAATAGATACTAAGCGCAGCAAATAGGCAATCAAATTAATCATAATATGGACACCAAAATATCAATAGTATGTGGACAACTACCGTATCTGTTAAGGAAGCAGATAAGGAGAAAAGTTCTAATGTCGTCAACGTTGCTATTTTAGTACTGTTGAATTCTCATAGCGTAATTATACACTATTGTTTATAGATTGTTGTTAATCTCTAGTTATTAAATAAGATAAGCTCAGTAAAAATTAAGTATTAATATTATTAGTTTGACTTTATTAACGCTTTGTGATATCATGGCCTTTGAAGAATTCAATCTTACAAATTTCTGCAATTGTGTAAGTGATTTTCATTACTGATGTTAGATGAAAAATGTTATAAAATATGGCACATCTGTGCCAAGATATTGAGATGAATTTTAAGCAATAGATGAACGATCTCTCGGATATTACATCACAAATTGCCCTAATTTGGCCGAAATTCGACGATATATCTTCATTTTGATTGAACTACATCCTCGTAGAATTAACTTTTATTTTCCATTTAAATTATAAACTTGCAAATTTTCATCACGTCTTAATCTTAAAATCAAATTTTAAACTTTCAAAAACTCTTCTAATTTATGGGGTCATTATATCACCATAGTGAAAGTAACGCTTTTTAGTCCATTTGGACAATGAATTATTATAACGTAATCGTTGCTAATAGTGCAAGTTATGAAATGAACAACTGCTAATTTACGCCAATACAACAAATTGGCGATGGAAAAATAAGTTATTTGCCTCTGCTGCCCTAAATGATTTACTAAACATTACATTAACATCAATATCTGAGTTTGAGTGTTTTCGACGATATCTTAACCGTCATCGCGGAAGGTAACTCCAATAACGGTACTTATTCCTCAGAAAATGGCAATTCTATTGATAACTTGGATTAAAATATCATTTTAGTAGAAATAGCGCCGATGGCGCCTAAGATGTCGTCAAAGTTCGCTGAAATCAAAGTACCAACTATGATAAGCATTCTTTTACTGATACTGATAATCTAGAAAAATCGGAAATATTTCTGTATTACTATTTTGGAGTCTTTAGTTCATTCATTGATTACAATTGTCGTCGTAAGTGATTGTAATAAACTTTAAAAGAAATGAATTCAATGAAGTAGTGATAAAATTTGATGCAATAGGTTTCTTTATCCCAAAGCTTTCCCCAGAAATGCATTGAATGATTCAAGGGAATCCATTGATAGTCTATAGCTACCTTGTTGGCTGATTAAAGAAACCACACCTCTTTATTATATGATTTTTAATTGATATACTCGAAAAACTTATTTACCTCTAAAATCACAATCATCAACTTTATGATAGGTATAATCAAAGAAAATAAAAGTAGATATAATACAACTTTAAGACTATGAGATTGCCGTGAATTTTGTAAATTGCTAACAAGGATAATTCGGTAATCACCCAAACCAATTTACCGTTGACGCCGCGTTTGATCCATTAACACCTAGCAATTTCTGCTGATAAAGTACAAATACCAAGTATGTAATAGCTAATACATAGTTAGAACAAAGCTAGGATTAGAGATCTTAGACGTTAGACAAATACTACTGCTTTAACGGACTCAAATGATACTGCTTTTGTGGCAGATATGACAAAACTATTGCAAGAGACGCTAGATACTGGACACATACTATTGTCGTAACAGATTAAAATGATATTGCTTCCATGTCAGATATAACAAAATTAGCACCAGAAATATTAGACATTTAATATATATTGTTATTCTAGCAGATTTTACTTTCATTCCTGATATTTTTACTAGAAATTAAATTAGTTCTTAGTTATGTATGCGCATTAATGCGATTGTTATCGATGTATTTTCTATTACAGTGTTTCTATCATTTTCTAAGATTCTCAGTTGAAGCTGATTTTGATTTGGTACATTCTAATTTGGTACATTCTAAGTAACAAATATAAAAGATTGTAAGTCTAGGCTAATCAGTAACCAGTAGAGGTAGGTTTAGTTTAGTGCTATAGGTTACCTATATAGTACCGTCATGTTTTCTATACATCATAGCAACTACAGTATGATATGATGCAATTAATAGTAAGAAGAATACGACATGAAAACTACTAACGAATCAGAGGTTAACTTAGTCACTAGCAAAATATTTGTATACGCATTGATTTGACGAACATTCAGTACATTGTATTCCACTTAGGTGATTCAGCGATTGATGATGATTAACATTAGCTTTAATAAGACAGGTCAACAGTAAATTTGACTTTAAAGCAACTTAGAAAGAATAGAGCAGGTTGCTTTAGCTGATTTTGTGGACTTTTGTAATAAAGTACTATTTCTAACCCCTACTATAGAAAAGCTACTTAGTAAAAGGGCTTCTAGTATTAGGAGATAAATACAGTTTATTACTTGAATTTATTGTTGAATATTAAAGTAGCAAGCGCAGACTGCGTAATCTAAACACAGCTAGGTCTCAGACTAAACTCCCAGAAGAGTCAGTCTTTGGATCCTTTAGAATCAAGGAGCCTTACATTTCACTAAAGCTATAATTATCGTTATTAAATTACCCACCAATAGTAATTAACTATTTTGCCATCTAAATATAGTCTCTAGAATCTATTTCCTACAACTCTAAATTGTAGTATCCATTTTTAGCAGATCTTATTTTCCCTGGTGAATGATATGCAATGATATAAATTAATACGAATTTCTTTAAGCAGAATAAACTGTATTCACTAAAGCTGATATGAATTATATAATTGTACATTGTTTATCGGTTATGCATGAATCTTCATTATCGATAAATGAGTGCTTCTGATGTATATGTAAAATAATATTCTATGATGTAAAGCTATAGTTACAGTTATAGTATCCATTTTTTAGGAGACTCTATTTCACCTGCTAAACGGCTTACTATGATATAAATTAATAAGAATTTCTCTAAGCAGGATTAACTGCATCTACTACAGCTGATATGCAATATTTATCGGTTATGCATAAATTTTCATTATGGATAAAGGAGCAGTTATGATATACGCGAAACGATATGTTATGATTTAAAGTTAATACAAATTTTTTAAGTAGAATAGCAGACAGTTTTTTATTTGAACTGCTTCACTACTGCTGATATGAATTATTTACGGCTTATAGCGGAATCTTCATTATTGACAAATAAGTACTTAAGATGTATTAGATAAATAAGCACTTACGATGTATTGGTTTTGCGAAAATTTAATATTGCTTATTAAAAGTATTTTTAAAAATTTTACTAAATTGTCGATCAGAGTCTTCGAAACAACTAAGTAACTCTACCGGTAATACAATGGCTACAGAAATGGCTACGAATCATGCAAATGGTACATCTAATGAATCTAATGAAGCAAAACGAAGTCACTGGAATAAAAAGATGCAATCATTACTGTCTTCTATCGGATATACGGTTGGCTTAGGCCATATATGGGAATTTCCCTATCTTTGCGCGACTAATGGAGGAGGTATATAAATCCGACACAGAATCGATTATGATTAACGAAATCATCAGCAACATTTATGGATTAGATGCGGTTATTGCAACCAAAAATCGGATCTAAGTCCAATTTGTATTTATTGCAGTGAAATATTAAAAATTTATAGTTGTGTGAAATAAGTCAATCTCTGAGGAGTATCTCTACGATCTGATACCATGGATTTGAGATGGGCTTACGAGTATATAGGGTGAAAATCAAATTTGGTAGTAAATTGTACTCCAATTGGTATAAGCAACTGTTATTAGGTTCGATGGATCCTAATAACTAATTTCAAAATACTTCTGGCGTCAGTTTCTATATCGCTTCAGTTCCTCAACTTAGCCATATCATTTTATATGCTTTTCCACTGCAGTGCAAATCACAATGAGTTTTTGATATGAAGAAGGAATCTTAAATTTTTAGCTATGGTCTTAATTACTATATTTATAGTACAAGAAAGAGACAGTTGTATTAGTTTAGCTATAGTCTTAATAATGCTACTATACCTGTCTAATGAGTAGTTTTTTGAGTTTGCCAAAGATAAGTAGCCATATCTAAAGAACTATAGAATTAAGAGCAAGAATTCTTAATATTTTCTTAACCATTAAAATCAAAATAATGCTAATGATTTTATATTTATTACAGCTGCTTTCCTGGTAGCATACTTCGTCATCTATATCATCATAGGAATTCCCATTTTATTTATGGAATTAGCCATCGGTCAGTATGCTCAAATGGGAAGCTTGCAAATGATGGCTCATTTATTTCCAATACTGAAAGGTGATCGCTTATTTTTGAGTGCATCTTAAAAATACCTTGCAATATCCATCTTTAGTAATATTAAACCTGAAATACTTAGTTTTCTTCAACCTTTGATACAACATAAAACATTTAAAAGATATCTTTTCAAATTAATAACTGCTTTGATTTATTAGGTGTTGGCTATGCAATGATTATTTGCTCCTTTGGAACAGCAATTTACTATAACGTTATGATTGCGTGGTCGTGTAATTTTCTGTTTGCCTCTATGCAAAGCGAACTTCCTTGGGCAGGATGCGAACATGATTGGAATACAAATAGATGTCGTACATATGATATTAAGTGCCAACCATTTAATTATTCATTATCAAATATCTCAAATAGCCCAACATTAATAAGCTTAACTTATTGGGGATTAATTCCTTCACAAAGTAGCAATCTAACGGCTCCAACCGATGAATTTTGGAAGTAAGCTAAGTACCACATCATAGCTGATGAAGTATAATCTATTCTTCGGTTGCTCTATAACATATTAGCGTAGTTGAAACAGCTTAATAATGCATACTTATTAGTAGAATAACAAATTATCACTAAATCCGTAATAGGTAATAGGTAATCTGCTCTACAGCTGTCCTACAAGTTATTAGTATAGTTTGAGCCCGTGAGATTGTATATATATACCCGCATTTATCAGCACAACGACGAACTTTATATGCTATAACTGCGTTCATGAATGCTAATACATAATTTATTCTGCAGCTGTCCTACAAGGTGGTAGGTTAAGTGATGTAAGGTTACATATTTATTAGCACAATAAACTATATACGCTAACACTACCCCCCCCCCCCCCCACATGGTTACTAATGCATGATCTACTCTGCAGCTGCAAGGTCTAAGTGCTAAGTGTAGTTCAAGCGGCATAATATTGTATATTTATTAGTAAAGCAATAAACTGCTACCACTACATCCATGATTGCTAAAGCATAATTTACTCTACTGCTGTACTACAACACAGTAATGTAGGTTAAAGTGCGTAATATTGTATATTTATTAGCATCTTAATAAGCTAGAGTTAATTGTCAAATACCTAATTCCTATAATATATAACAGTCGTATGGTCTTGAAAATCAATGCAAATATTAACAATTTCGGTGAAATGCAATGGAATACAGCACTATGTTTACTGCTAGCTTGGCTAATTGTCTATATCTGCATCTATAAGAGTATCCAATCCTTTAGTAAGGTAGTTCTGATTTAAGTTGATTTTGTCTTATAACCTTGTCAGTGCATTATTATTAATACAAGACCTAAATTCATTGGTGTATTTATCGCCAATGCAGGTTGTCTATTTTTTCGTGCTATTTCCTTACCTAACGCTAGTGGTAATAATAGTTCGTGGAACAACATTATCTTGCAGTAAAGCTGGAATCCTATTGTATTTTCATGCTGGATGGGAAAAATTGGGCCAAGTAGATGTGTGGTCAAAAGCTGCTACCCAAGTATTGAAGTCTCTTGGTCTAGGATACGGCTGCTTAATTACCATCGGCAGCCATAATAAATTCAATAACAACTGTTTCAGGTAGTAATAAAGAAAGCTTGCTTTTATATCTTATATTATTTAAGATCATCGATGACTTTTGCGGTAAAATAACACAGATAAAATTTATAAGTTAGTCATTAATAATTTATTCTTTCATTGCGATCAGAGATGCTATGCTCGTATCTCTGTTTAACGGTATTACTAGTTTGTTAGCTGGACTAGCGATGTTTAGTTTTACTGGGTTTCTGGCATTTGCAAATAATGGACAAGTGGACAATACTATTGAAGGAGGTATTTCTGATACGAATTAATTTATTGTTAATGGCAAGGATTAGTTCAGAGAGCAATCTACATTGTTTCGTATATAAAACTGATTTACTTTTAACATACTTATCTACAGATTTCGATATGTATCAGTAATTTACAGTTACTTTTGCAAATTGCAAATTTAAGAATACCTTGTTGAATAGCCATTCTTTGTTAGGCATTAGACTAGCTTTCGTAGCTTATCCTTTAATGGCAGCTCAAGTCTCTTTGCCCAAGTTGTGGTCGATCTTGTTTTACTTGATGGTTATGATGTTAGGCTTAAGTACTCAGGTTAACTTTACTTTTTTTAACATTAAATATACGTAAATATTTGGTATTGATGCAGTACGGATAAAATAAGATTTCTCATTCTTATTCAAGAATTAAATTACTGCATGTATGGTATGATGTAGACTCGGAATATTCTAAAAAACGAGTAGCTAGTATATTGAACTATAAGATTGCGACGTTACTGTTATAAACTTATATAATAACACTTGATATTTAGGTTATGTACTTAGAGAATATTCTCGTAGTAGTATTGGATAGTTTCCCAAAAAGTGTTGGCGCAAGAAAGAGAACAAGTGTTATTAGTTTGTTAATATGCTGCACTATCTATGGCATTAGTTTACCATGCACTACTCAGGCAGGATATCATATAGTCAATTTGATGGCTAATCATTTTACTGGGATATCAATTCTTATTATATGCCTATTTGAAAGTATTGCCATTGGATGGGGCTACGGTAGGCGATAATAAGATTGTAAATGTTACCCCTTTGCTTCTGCTGTATGGCATGGCATTTATCAAAACCTTTTAATTTCTTTAAGCTGATATAAATAGTCGACATTAATATGCACGCCTTGTATGTTTGCATCTTGATTATGTGTAGGCTCTATTAAACTAGGAAAATCTGTAACCAAAATGATTGGTTATAAACCATGGTTGTATTATTGGTGGATTTTCTGCTGGATTAGTGTAGTTCCCGTTTTTCTTATGGTATACTGGATGTTTATAATTCGATTTTTAATATTATACAACTATTATTAAATCATAATAGCATCCTCTATAATTATTTGTTGTATTTTAATTGATCTTCAGTAGCGTTTACTTTAGCCATAGGTTTCTGATTAAAGCCATATAAAATGATCTTTTCCTTTGTTTAATTAAGTTAACATCCAAGAAATAGCTCATTATTGTGCTTGCTACATCTACTATAGGCTCTCGCAGTATATGAAACTTTTAGATACCTATTAGTGCAAGCCAATATGCCAATATCACAATCAAGACTTCCTTCTCGAGCAATGAATTGGGCATTAACGTCGTATTCACTTTTATTTATTCTCCTCTTTGCAATCTGTCAATTAATGAATACAAATACAATCAAGGTTGGTTACTTCCTGGTTTTATTTGGGCACGATAGATTTAAATACAGTAATTTAGAAATTATTTAAATTTTCTTAGTATAAGTGAATATCCCAATTTAAACTTAGCCTGTCGTTTTGAGATCCTGTTTATTAGCAAGTTATATATTATATCTGTTTTACATTACAATTGCCATCATTACTAGGGATGTTATGAACTCTTTAAGCCAAAAAAAGATATTTATGGTGACTTACAACTTAACATACAAAGTCAACGAGGAAAGTGGCATCGTGTTCCAACTCCTACTTTAACTTATACTTAGTGAGAAACTATCTAAATGGCTTTCCATTATAATTATTAATAACTTGCAACCATAGACTAAAGTATGATACATTTTCTTACCGCATTGGTTGAAACAGAATTCGAGCAATTTTATCGTACATTTCGTTGAAAAGGTATGCTAGTTAAGAAATACCCATGCATTTATATTAATTCAAGGATATATCAACCATGTAATTATAATAGCAATAGATATTTTCTTCAAAAATTTTTGCCACATTGATAGAAGATGTTTTTCTTATATATTGCTCATTGGCATTATTATTGATTGATTAGTTGCATAACACCAGCATTTAAGTATAAATTTTTTACACTACCAATTATTATCAGTAAATAATCGGTTTGATAGTAATGGACAGGATTTATTGAGGATATTAAGATAGGTCAAGAAAATATAAATATTCTACTATTGAATTTTTCATTTTTGTATCGATTATAGCCCAAATAATTCCATCTGAAGATGTTCTTGATGGAATTTAGATTTATTATTTCTTGCCCCTGTAACAATCATGTATTTTTAAGTAATAAATTTTATGATATACCGCTATTCCACTCGACGTATTATTAATATAAGCCCACTTAGCTCCATAAGTGGCCTCTTTCTGTGCTATTAAGTATATAAGTGGCACTAATAATAGTAGAATTTAAATGTATTATCCTATATGGTGTCCTATTGAGGCATAAGAGATAGACTATACCCTTGAATTAAAATATAATTCTACTCAAATAGAACACTGTTCTAATAGTTCAGATACATTTGACCATGGAAAATTTCTATGCTAATGTGAGTATTACTCCACATATGCCGCTAGATATTTGATTTGTAAATTTTGACTCTAGTAAAGTATGAAACGCTAAATTCTAATGGAACCTGATCATGGATATGTAAATGATGTACCTTTAAAATCGACGACAGAATGTTCCAATCGAGACAGTGCATCAAAGAAAGGGAAGTACGGTAATTGAGACGCAAAATATAATTAATTGGACTTCTGTTGCTTCTGTTCGATAAACTACCGAATACATGTTAACAAGTCTCCTGAAGGAAGCTAGAAATCAGATTGAATAAGAACAATAATTACATAGAAAAAATAAAATATTATTTTCAAAGTCCACAAAACTCTGCAAGTCAATAGAAACGGATTGCTAGCAACATTTTGAAATTTGGTCATTAGTCATCATAGAGCATGATGAGATTTCTAATTTCAAATTAATGCAAGCATTAATCTATAATATAGCGATTTGTGATGAAGTAGTGGGATAAAATCGATCAAAAATTCCCAAATTTATAGAAAATATACATGCTATAACCTTATACGATTTTCCTCCTCACTCTAACTATAGCAAAGGACTGCTTTTCGTTCGTTTAATTTTCTTGTAATTTCTTGTGATGATGAACACCCAATCTTCCGAAACATACCTTCAGGTAGTCATATTCGGTTAGACTAGAGCTGCCTTCACATTATTGTTATATAAATCAGGATAATTGATATAATCTTGTGAATAGTAACCCATTGATAAGTTACCGTACCTCGGAAAAATCACGCTATTTAAGTAATCTTCTATATCACGGGGACGATGAAAACAGTGTACTAATTTTTAATCTCGAAGAATATCGCTGCATCACATGTATTCCCGTAGTATTGGTAATAAAATCTCAGGATAATTGACACAATTATGCGAATGCTAGCCCCATAAGCTACATCAAGAATAATGTTGTTTAAGTAATCTGCTCTATTTTAGGGGGCGATAAAAATAACACACTAATTCTATTCTTGGTATTATTATTAGCTACATTTTGAATATGATTGACTAAATCTTCGATAGTATGAAAATCTTGGGCATTAATATAGGATTCAGGTGGAGCAATATCAGTAGCGATTGGATTTTCCATCGTCCGATAGACCCATAATTGTTGATAGGGCTTGGTCTTGATCGATGGATAGTATTCTTGATCGGTTATTTTTGGGCTTAATCCATGAAATACTATAATATCGCTACTCTTATATTGACTGTGATCTCTTGTAATTTCGCATAGTCTATAATTAAAAAGTATTGGATCTGATTATATAGGCTATGGACCATTAAACCATGGTGTCCATAATAATGTATTTGGCTTTTCCTCAATAATGATATCATGAGGCTTTATGGGAGTTTTAGTTTCAGTAGTGGTTGATAGAATACATTTGACATCTAGTCTCTGGTTGATATTATCAATAATAACTTAAACATCTTCTACCGAAAGCAAAGGTCGACTGTAGATGCATATGGCTACTTTTTGAAAATGACTAATGAAATAAACTTGGGTAATGTTTAAAATGATACAAACAATCTCACTAATTGTCTTCCATCGCATGATACTATCAAGTTCTGATCTATTTTTGACTGGGACGATGTGAAATAGATAATTTTATTAATCCATTGATAGCTTTATTGGACTGATCGTCATAGCAGAAAGGACTTTCTTTCCAAGATGTTTTTCACTTTGGCTCCGATTTCCGATTGTGAAAGACAGATTCAATAGTGACAGTAAGGCCTGATTTCGACATATCTGCAACGCGAAAGGCAATGAAATCTGTTGCCAATTACCTGCTGGTAATTATAAAAAATGTCAGCAAGAGTCTATTTCTAACTGCAATACAAGTGTACCAATAAAGTGTCATGTCGGTAGCTAATTTCTTACTGCGTAGCTAAATCACATTATTCGTTTATTAAGATTAATGTCTTACCAATTTGATACTGCTGCGTAAATAAATTACATAATTAATTATGAAGGTTAATCTCCACGAATGAGCTACTGCATAAATAAATTACAGTATTGATTCATTAAAGTTAATCTCTTACTGCATTGCCACTAGTAATTTAATAAAATGATAGCAATACTTGTAGGCAGGGGTAGGTGCTACTATTTTTTATACAGGGATTTTCTTTGAAGACAAATAGAAAGGTTCGCTACAACGTGAATATTAAATTGAACGTTATTATAGATAGTAGAACTGTTATACGAGTATGTAGAAAGTAACAGCAAATAATATTCTACAATGGCTAACTATGAATCATAGCCGATATCTTATCACATCAAACGATGAGAAAATTAAGTTTTGGATGAAGAGCATAAAGGAAGAAGGTATACTGTACTGTGCTAGCTGTGTTATCAAAGCCATAATCTCCAAAATTACACTTTCAAAGTGCCAATAAGTGTCTGCATTTTAGTCATTTAATTAAATAAGCATAGGGCTATAGGCAAATACTGGCTAAAAATACTGGAGCAATAACGAAATGTCAGATTTTTAATAGTAGATTGATGAGATTTTTTCTTTTATTAGACCACTACAACTAATTAAGCATGAAAAGTACCGGTAATCATTTCTTTCTATCAAGATTTCTTCCATAGAATGGAACAAGATTATGGAAGATAATACAATGGACTTTAAATTTACTAGCATCAAACCTCATATCGCAATGACATAAATGTAAATTCTAATGTTGAGTAACACAAATAACTCCCTCCATCTGACGGAAACTAGTGACTGAATAATCTGATTGACTACTTGCGTGTCAACAAAATGACAAGAAAGGTCTGAGAGAAACGAATTGCTCAAGCTACTCAACAGAGACTGACTAGATTATTTTAGGAGCATATACTTGGAATAGTTATAAAAGGAAATGTAACTGTTAATAACATCGTTCAGATCTGCCAATTTATACTAAGACAAAGTTGAAAGAATTCTAGTATTATAACCAAGCCCATAAGTTGTTTCACAAGACGTTTTTAATTTCTTATAATGTTTGTTACTGGTTGAGGCCTTAGGCCCTATCTTATATCCTTTCAAAAACTTACATTAATGTTCACTATAATTGTAGATATTGCAGTGAATTAGATATTAATGTATTTATAGCGACTGATAATAGTTTTGCTTATTAGAAGATTAAGGCTTGTAGTGCATGGATTCTTAACCCTAACACTTAAGCACTATAATTAGCTGAAATCATTGCAAGGCTATCTATTACCGCATTCTTAAAGTGGTGTATCGCAGAAAGTAAATTGCTCTAAATGCAATAACGCTAAAAATGATGTGATTGCTAGCCATTAATTCTTGATGGTTAAGCTTAATAATTCTAGTAGAAGGAGACATAAACTCTAGATTTTAATTACTAGTTATTTTTGTTCAAGCTCTTTATCAAAAGTGTGATAAGTCTTCATCAAGTTAATTAATGGTTAGCCAGCAGAGAAAATTTTTAAATTATAAATGGGACTTTTTATTTCGTGATTGATATTTGTAAAGTACTGTAGTTCAAGTTTTCAATAAAGTCGCATAAATAAACTAGAACAATGATTAATTTGGATCTAAATTTAGGATATCGTTTTTAGTTCAATTTAACGTTTACAAGGCTTAAGTAAAGTAGTAGTACAAATTATTATTAGGCAGGTAGATTTGTCCGATAATTAGATAATTTATCTCTGAAGCATGACTGCAATAAAGTAGGTGTATAAATTATTATTAGGTTGGCTGATATTTTCCGATAATTAATTTATAAGTGATCATTGATGCATTTACGAGGATTACTGATAATTAACCAGCAGCTGTAAAATATAGGTGTTATATTCTGGAATATTATACAGATACAAAATTTTATAAGTACTATAAAAATGGATATGAGGGCAGAAAAGATGACAATATATTATAATTTTGAAACTTTTATGTTAAATTGAAAGAAGTCTTTCTAAATGGCATTGAATGTAAGGATAAAATGAATGCATTTATTTAAGTAATGATTTAAAAATGATTTTTAATTAACTAGGTATTCTTCCTTTAATTAAGCACATAATAGAATTAGTGGAAAAGATAAATTGCGGTATTCAGAAATAGATAAAGATTAATAGAGTATACGCAACTGTTAAAATCTAAACATATCAGTATGAATGCACTAGCTAGCTAGAAAATCGATTCGTTTACCGCAATATTCATTGCACAGTTTGCTATCATATAATCTATTATTTACTCAGAATGATTTGATAGTGATGCAAACATATTGAAGTAAATATAATTGAGAATAATTTATTATAATACTGGCAGATAGAGTATTATACAGACAGATGTTCAGCATCAGCAGATAGCTAATTAATAATGCTGTATTCATCTTATAGTATTTATTGCTGATACAATGACTAACGTTACTCTTCATTATTAAAATTTAGATATAAGCCCTATGGAGTTAACTTAAATTAGTAATTTCTACTTGAATATGAGCATAAAAGGAGACAGTATTGAAAGTTGAGCCATCTTAACTCAGGAAGAGACTTAGCCGAAAGTTTACTATTAGATCTGAATTTGTTACTCGTTGGTAACTTCTAATATTAAGTAAATAAATTGGATATTCAACGGATCTACAAGTTTGGTCATAATTAATTACTCTATCTGAACAAACTACGAAAATCTTTCTAACTTTATGGCTAGATTAGACTAGTCATTGATTATATCATAGATGGACAACCATCTTAAAAGCAAGACATCTACCGATAATAATTTTCACCTTGTATCTAGGGTAACTAGTGCAAAAAGCTTAATAGTGTCGTAAGTTTTTATCCATATGATAAAATACAGCTTGTCATAGAAGGAACTACAACTGTATAAAGACGGAGGATATGGATCGATTGATAGCTATAATAATATCTAGATATTCTATTTTATGACAGGATTAGATACTTAAAAACCAAAACCAGGTTAACAAAATCAGCTGATCTATTCATTTTATTTTTTCTACCTATTCAATTACTTTAATTGAAATGGATGTATAACACGCCGTTGTTTACCCATTGAAGTCCACATAAAGACACATATAACAAGTTAGTAACAAACCTGGCCAGCAACCGCAGTTAAGAAATTCAGTGAATGAAAATGGCTCTGATGCGAGACAGAACAGAATAGCCAAGTCTAAAAGTTCATATTAGATTGATTGATATCCTCTAGTTGCAGTATTACTCAGAGCTATAGCATATCAAATAAGGCTTTTATTTATTTCATATTCATTTAATTTTATATTTCTGGTACACAAGGTATATAGAATTTTGCGAGCAAAAATCATAACTTTTTGTTTGTATTACTATTGAATAACTCATGTATATTTAATTGTCCCATTCTTATAAAATCGGAAAGCTTGATCAATACTATTCTAGAGTTGTTTCTATTTTTATCTCATCTTATTTCTATTCTTCTCTACTACGATCTAAAAAATATCAATGACGGACATCACGTACGTTGAATTTTTTATCTAAGAATGAAAATGGTATGACTAAGAGTATTGCAATCTTGTGCACGTAATTTCGCTGTTAACTGCAATATTGTACAATTATTTTTATCTAATAACAATCATAACATGGAACAACAATATTTGAAATATCATACAATGAAGTTCAATTACCTTGAGATTGAACGCGAATATAATTTAACTCCACGTTAATCGAAAAACAATAAGCAACTCTTTATTACCACTTAGATGATAGGAATACACTATTTTTTTTACTGTCAAATGACGTCACTACTCGTGTAGATCAAAGTTAAATCTAGACGTAAAATGTAGGTATAGCCTAGTTCAAAATAATCTGATGGTTTATATTATTTCCCATTGAATAATATACTCAAATTGATTCAATTCTAATTGATCAATCTGGTAGATTAAAATTAAAATGTGTAGACAGTTTTTATTTCTGTGTATGAAAAATTAAAAAAGTGATTAGAATCACGAAAAGGAATTCCGATCAAGTAAATAGATTTAATCGTGACTCACTACCGTACACTTTATTATTATTTATAAAACCACCGATTCTGATTTATTGTATTCGTCCGATATTAATCTAATTAATTTGATGATGCTTTAAATTTATTAATTTGGTTAAAATCAATTTTAATCTTATTATAAACTCGGAGAGAGGCCCTTTAAATTAGCTTCATGCTTAAGTGTAAGAGTATGCAAAAGCAGTTTTTGAAGTTGTACGTTTGATAGTAAGATTGCTAGCAATGCTTGAGTGACAGTGTTATATACTGTATTAGAGTAGAAATATCTATGTTAGGATAATTCTGTTAGACTATCCTTATTTAGTTAATTTCTAATTTGGATATACTGTGTTTTAATATAGCACTGACTTTTTATGACAGTGACACTTATACACATACTGATATTAATAGTTATGATAGGGAATGCAAATCATCTACTTACAGTTCGAATCATTGTGATTGTAATTTACTTATGGTAGATTGTAAATTATCGTGGAAATGTTCCGTGATAGGACATATCTTAACCTGACTATTCTGTATAAATCATCACATGTCTATGTTCGTAAATACTGTTGTCTGCATTAAGGGAGCAGTAGCTAAAATTAATATCTAATTCAGTAAATGATTCCAATGTTAATTGTATTAACTATGACTCATGAACTGTTGAGGAATAGTATATAAATGCAGTACATCGTGTAATAAAGTGGACTCTAAAACTTAGTGTTTAACGTAAAATACGAGGCGTTTAAGTCTTTGTGTAGTCTGCTAGTAGAGCAAAAGTGTTTGTGATAGTGCAGATATCGTTCCTTGATACGCGGTTCAAGGAATTGACTTATTGATCGTATATTACGTTATCTTGTTGCAAAGCTGTTTTGTGACAGCTTGAC